TCATTTTATAAAAATTGTAACGTTGCTTATTACGATATCAATATTTGAATATTTCATTTCATTGAGCAACATTATTGTATGTTTGATTTTTTGAGATTACTGAAAACAATTGTAGTCTTTAATTGTTCAGTAATTGTTACGCTTTTATTTACAGAAATTAATACCTTCTCCTACCATAGGTATAATATTAAACTGTTACAAATATAGTCGCCGGTTTCTACCGGCGACTAATTACAGAACTTCCATTATAGACCAATTCACTTTAATGTTTTATATATTCTAATTTAAAATAAGATGTTTAAATGTTCATTCAAATAAGGCGATGGAGACTGTTCACTTTAAACAATGTATTTTAAACAAGTTTTTTCGTCATTATTTGTCGTACATGTTAATTAAAGTAAAATGAACTATTTGAAGATTTTTTTTTTCAAATAAAAAGTTTATTCTATATTGTTTTGAAGTATTTACAAAATGTACTTTAAAGTGACGTTATGCCTATCCAAGGGTATAGAGTGGGTAAATATCCACCAAAATTACATGTTCAGTTTATAAAAAGAGTTGGGCAGTCTGTTTTAAATTTTAGGCAATTTTATATTTCACCTTACTTAACTATTGGTCAATCACTTAAATATGTATTCGATTCAGCTCAGCTTAAGCATAAAGTCACTTCAATCTAATAAAAGTCCGGTATCTGACACATCGCCATTTTATTGTTAAAAATGCATGATAGAATATTAGCGGAATGAATTAAATATAAGAATGAAACATCGCGATAACCCGTGGTACTTTAAGTGCAGTTTATACTTGATAAACCAATGAATAATTTAAACTTAATAAGGCTCGTATACTATAAAATGATTCACTGTTTGTCTATGTACAGAATGAAAACCATAACACATAATAAACACCAAGCCGAATGATACACATCTTAAATGTTGCATTTTTAGGAATAAATACGACTTTTTACTTGTTCCTGTCTTTTTATAAATTCATAAGAAAATGTATAATTTTGAAATGTTCTTACAATTTGTCTATACTGTTTTCTTATCCTTTCATAACAATTTTCTTTAGAATTAATGATATGACAGGAACAAATAAAATGTTATTCATTTCGAGTTCAATGGATATGCCGATGTTTGGCAGCATTTCTTTCCATCGAACATTTGCTTTAAGTTCACTTAAATGTTCATATAATATAAGACTGGTAAAAATAAGCTGTAACCTATAGTTCTCAATCAATTAATGAATGAATTTAAAAAAGCTAAAAGAAATCATACACTGAGGATCTTAATATAAAAAATTAAACGAAATCTTACCTTAAATGTAGCAAATATTCATCCAATAACTGTTTTATATTGTAGCGATAAAATACGACCTTTTTAAAGCGGTGTTAAGTTGATAGTGTAATCGATACGATCCGGTTTAGACATGTACAAAATACGGTCCCGAGATAGATTTCTCCCGGGTAATTAGACCGTATAATCGATACCGTATTAAATACAATAACACACTTAAAATTGTGTAGAAATTGTAATATAATAAGAATATTTTTAGCAAATAAATCCCTATTTGATATTTATACATCAGTAAAAATGATTTTTTTTAACTATTATCTTTCAATTTACCTAGTAAGCTCTGTAACACCGCACTTTAGGGTCAAACGCACTTCGGGGTCGGACCCCAAAGTGCGTTACACACTCTGGGTTTAAATTTTGACCCCAAAGTGCGTTACACAGGTACATTCGCAATTTCTAACATCAGACAAACGACCGCACTTTTGGGTCATAAAAATCTAACCAATTAAAATGAATGTTAGTAATATTTTAAAGTAATATGTTGTTGTTAATGCCAAGGGTTAACTTAAAAAAAGGAATGGAGTACTTGGCGAAATATATAAAGAGGATAACAATAACAGATGATCGCTATGCTTATTTCCCAATTTGCAATTAATTATATGTTTGTATTTCATTAAGTGTGTCATAGACTGATGGCCTTAATGTAAGATACATGTATATATAAATATGTTTGATGTGCATACAATAAATAACATTTACAGCTGTATACATCTTACACCGAAAGCAGCTTACCGTTAGCTGTATACGCCAAGATGCTGCATATTATCGTATATACTAGTAGTAGCTCATTTTGTTAGATGACTAAACTTGTGATCGTCCGAACAACTTCGACCACGGCAATGACAAAAACCACGTCTATATTTTTCCGACTATTAATTCGCCTCCGATCACTACGACTTCGATCACGACCACGACTACGTCTTCTACACCATTAATGACTACGAGTACAGCTATGACTACGATAACGACTGCAACTTATACGACTACCTACGATTTTTACGAATTCGCCCCAAACTGCGACCATTTCTTCGACTACGAATGGTATGACTACAAGTACAACTCTGACCCTGAGGACAAAGACGACGTCAACGAAGAAACGACTTTGACGTATACGACTTCAGCAACGACCACGAATTCAAAGGATAGGTCGGCAACTTAACTGCAACCATGACTGCGACTAACTACTACGACTATTACGATTACGACTTTAAAGACTTTGCCAAGATTAACGACAGCGACTTGTCGATTGCTACAGCCAAGACTTCGATCATTACTTACACGACGACTAGTCGTTTAATACTACGACGATGAGGGCGGCCACAATTATTCTAGACATATACGATTACCAATACAGCTTCAACTTACAGGACGACTACAGGTACAAAGACTTAAAAATTTCGAGTACGGTTACGACTTTGAAAACTACGACTTCGACGATTTTAAGACAACGACTACTTTGGTAAAGACCACGAAGTCATACAATGTCAAGAGCTGTTATGACGCCAATACTTTCAGCTTCGGCGACTATAAACCATTACTACGACATCTACGACTACAAATAGGTGATTACGATTATGACTGCATCGACGACTGCGAGTACGATCAACGCTTTAACGACATTGAATATGACTGCTACACATTTTTATCTAATTTTGAAATTACAACTATGACTAGTACTTCTACGAATACTGATTCGACATCATCTGCGACCAAGATTACTACCATAATTGCTTTAACAACGACACCTTCGGCGACGTCCACTTCAACTTCAATGATTTCACTTAAAACTGCGACAAGTACGGAAACAACTGCAATGATGACGTACTTTGATTGACTGACGATTATATCTACAACCACGACTACACATTCAGCTTCGACGATAACGACGACAACCAAAATACATTTTCGAAATTGGATGCACATTTCCAACGTTTACAGCTTACGTAAGCTAACGTAAAACTAACAAGAGGAGTGCTTGCCTAGTGGTTTATTATAAGGTGTCTGCCCCTCAACCCTGGGATCATGTGTTCGAGCCCTACTCAAGTCACGGCCATTTTTTTCTCATATGACACTAGTATCAGGAATTGGACTATAAAGTGATTTATATAAGTTGCAAATACTCCTAATCGAGCTAAATAAATATATTTAAACTAACTAACAAATATAGATCTTTGTAAGCTGTATACGGTTTCAACTAGGATTCTTTCAACTAACGTTTACAGCTCACGCGTAAGCTATATACGTCATTAGATGTTAACGGTGAATATTAAGATGAAATTCACGTGTATTTATGGCAGGAATTATTTTCATACATATATAAAAGCTAATTTTCTGAAAATACGAAATTATCTTTTTTATATGGCGGTCATTTATAAAAATGCAGCATTTTTGGTCGTTTATAAAAAACAGATACATGTTGTAAAACCTTACAATTCTCCTAAATATTTTTGTAAGATTTCAATGAATCAAAAAAAAAATGTCTTGTGGCGTAAAAAATCGTTTGCATTAAATTTCACTCGTGTCATTTCATTTTAAGTCTTAAGATAGCGTTCAAAATGGCCACAAATCGAAAATAAGTCATTACTGACATATCAATGTACAATGTTAACTAAGAATACTTTATATTTACTAATAGAAGCAGTTACTCTCATGACATAACATGTTATACCTGACTAATACCATGACATACGTAAAAGTCATTTAGATATCAAAGCAGAAGTTTACGAGATAGCAACAAAAACATTTATTTTAAGGCATTTACTAATCGAGTGATTATGGTTATTCCGGTCGTTCATATGGTCCAAATATTTCGGAAACTCGAAAATTGTGAAATAGGTTTGAAATGAACAACTGTAGCCCTCGCGCTACAATAATGAAAGTTACTCCTAACATACTTGTTATAAGTCATTTAAACAGAATTTTATTTACATGTTTTTGAAAGTAAATTGATGTTTACTACATTTTATTTATAATTTATCGGTTTCCCCATTAAATTTAATTTGGAGTTTAATATGACACCAAAACTGTTCACGTAAATGACAGAACAGAATGCTCTTCGAAACATCTGTTATTTTAGGAACACATTTAAATTAGTTTGTTTTTATAGTCAAAAGGTTTGCGATATTTAAAGTGGTAAAATTAATATTTATCACTTACATTTAATAATTGAGCAGCAAATACATTTTTACTGATACATCAAAATTCGACGATTGCAAAGTTATGTATCTACGTTCATCTTGAACTTCACCTTAAATATTTCAAAATTGCAGATAAAAAATTAGTCAGTACTCAGTATTTAAGCAGAACTCGGTTAACTTTTTTAGAACGATGGAACCCAAAGTGCGTTAATATGTAGCATATCAACGCACTTTGGGGTTCATTCCTGGATTTTGACCCCAAAGTGCGTTTGACCCCAAAGTGCGCTGTGAAGTTTACGCACTTTGGGGTTGGACCCCAAAGTGCGTTTGACCCTAAAGTGCGGTGTAACAACGCTGTGCAAAACATCGCATATTTGAAAATGAAGTAATATCACGATTACGAGTATACGATCATACGTAAGAAAAAAGAAAAGAAATTTGTAATATAAAAAAACCCTGCACAACCTATATCATAATGGTACGACCGATATCGTGTTCGAATTATATTGGAGAATTTGTTTATATTCGTTTGAAACATGTAGACGGTTTAAATTCTGATTGGATTACACTATCACTTCCGCGTTCCGACAAAATGGCGAAGACGGGTAGTGTAGGAGAAGTTATCCCGATTTAAATAAAGGAAAATACATTTTTGAGGTATTTATATCTTGTATCAATGGATTTTTCATTAGAAAATTTTCAAAAGTAGTAATTTATTTATAAATAGTCTAATATGAAACTTACATAGAAAGCTAATGTATATTGATATTATTGAAAAATAAAAACGAGGTCGAATCAACATGTTGATACTTGAAAAATTAGAATCCTTATATCTAACAAAACATTTAACTTTATTTGTACATCTCACATCTTGTGCTTATTGTATTTTGAAGAAAAAAAAGAAAATATGCATATCTTAATCTAATATATTATTCATCTGATTTTACAATATACATGTACAAAACAAAGGAAAATACAAGTAACATACAACCTTATGAATATTTTTTCAAGAAATTTTCTACAATTATGATTGAAAATATGTCTGACAATCATTCAATTTAAAAATGCCTACAAAAGTAGAATTATAATCCTATACGAATTAATGTCAAATAAATTTTCATGATTTTGTACTTTCGGTTTCTACAACCACGATAATAAGTATAAGATAATGAACTCTTTACTTTAGATGGACGTTTACTCGATATATTGGATTAAACTTGGTCAACAACTCTTAGTATTATATAAATATTGTTTACATGCGTAGGTTAGACCAAAATACCGTATCCGTTCTGTGTAATCTTACTATTGTGTTTGCGGTTCTTAGGCCTAAAGAATTGTTTGTTTCCGGTGTCCCTACCTACCCTATTTTTTGGCCACCGACCCTAAAGTTTTTGAGGGAAAACAGGCCACATTTATTGTTTGACGCTGTATAATAAACTTTGCGCCGCATATTCTTACTTCCGTCACATGCATTTGATATAAAAAAAAATATCTAAAAAAAAATGCCAAACTTCCTACTCTATTTTTAAAACCATGTCACTGGAAACAAACATTTTTGTTAGGCCTTACGGAAATTGGACACACTTTTCTGTTCAATAGTCGTTGTTAAAATTTTGTTTAATTTTGGAATTTGAATATTTCTCAAATAAATAATGACAAATATGGTCTTTAGGTTGAGATTTACATTTTCTTCGTTCGCATTACATGATTATAATAATAACTTCACTCTACTTTATGAATGTAAATGTCTTGCGAGGTTTACAAATTAATACATACGTATGTAAAACATATATCACTCATTCTACTTATTCTAATAATATAAACCTTGTAATGTATAATAGAGGATACGCAAGATGTTTTCGATAAATACAACATAAATTTTCATCGTGGTATGAAAATATATTTTACGAGTGGCGGTAACCCCATGTGAAATATGGTAATTTTCATATCACAAGATGAAAATAAATCCTCTTAATTATGCACTTTTAAAAGAAATATTGAGAAAAAATGATGAAATAAAATGCATATTTGCCTTTTCCGTATTTTCACTGTAAAAATTTATGTTTCACTGCAGTGAACCATATTTTCCGTATTTTCACTGGGTCTTGCCGAACTACTATGTTTCTAAACAAAATTCAAGGGAAAGTCTTTCAAATTGTTATGTCAAAATAAGAAGAGAAAAATGTATGTAATAAGCAGAAAATTTAAGTTTTTGTTCTATAAATACAAGATTTATTTTCATCTTGTGGTATGAAAATTATCATACATCACTCGTGGCTACCACCACTCTTGGAATATTTATTTTCATAATACTCATTTATAAATTAATCATGTATTTATTGGGAAAAAACTTGAATAACTTCTTTATGTATAGAAAAGAACTTTAATTTTCTGTTTATTATATATTTGTTCTCTTTTTTGACTTCTCCTTTAATTTTGTGTATTAGTCGAATGAAGAAAGTAGTCGGAAGTTTTCACTGAAAAATATGGAAAAATGTTTCACTCAGTAAAAAATAATTTTTTACAGTGAAATACGGTAGTAATAGAATGCAAATTGGACTCAATTTCGCGAAATGAACTTTTTGACTACGAAATGGACATTTGTTTCTTAAATTTTGGTTTAAGTGTATTATTTAATATCATTTTTAATAACGAATGATATATGACATTAAAGTACTATTTGAACAGTACGGGCAATGAAAAAAGAATATATGAAACTACGCATTTTATTTCATATATATTTCTCAATACTTCATTTATAAGTATGTAATAAAATTGTGTGAAGAATGTGTTTTTTGTTCCGCGTTGATCATTTTCACTTAGGAATATTACAATGAAATACAAATTTAATAAACGTTTTGATTATGATTACGGAAAGAATGTATTATCACGTTTCTTTTTTCCCCCCTTTTTCGGCTAATTACCTTATTACGCATTTCATAGGCCCGGTATAATTCTTTAAAAAAAAACGATGACTGACTTTTTGTTAACCATTAAAATGTAGTTCATTTTTTAAAAAAAATCTTCGCGTTTAATGTTATTTTTAGAAATACGAATCAATTGTAATTTCATGTATGTGTTATCAGGTTTATATTTATTGATTGGATTAAAAATGGTATGGAATTGACTTACTATTTGACAACTCAGGGCAATGAATAAAGAACCTATTATTCTAAAAATAAGAAATAAGATCATTGTATTTTGTATAATTTGTTGTTAAAAGTTGGTGCTTACATCTATTCTGGTGCTAACATGCATATTATTTTGAAATTTCAGAACAAGCCAACAATGGAAGTTCCTGGTAAGCAAAAACCAAAAAAGACATTTTCTGCTTCAACAGGCTCTGCTGAAGACTTTCTTTTGTTCTGTATCCCGTGCGATAGAGATGGTGTCCGGGTACCAGCAAAAGGTTATTGTTCAACATGCAAAGAACATCTTTGTGACACTTGTTACAAGCACCACAAGAAACAAACTCCATCACGTCATCATATTCTACTAGATCAAGACTCTATGCCAACTACACCAAGCATTCCAATAGTAAAAGACGAATTTGATAGTTGTGATGATCATGGAGACGAAAAACTGAAATTTTACTGCAAAGAGCATGGCATCGTTGTTTGCAGTGTTTGTGTTACGCTGAATCACAGGTTATGTACTATGGACTACATACCGAACCTCTCGAAACATATTCTAGACAGTGAAGAGCTTAATGAAATAATGTCAGAAATGAAAGCGCTTGAGGATAATTATAAATCACAGTTAAAAAAAGTAAAAGATGAGATGAAAGCTATTTATCAAAACCACGATGACGTAATAAAGGCGATTCATCAATTCAGAAAAGAAATAAATAAACGTCTAGATGAAATGGAAAAACATGTGGTCAAAGAAGCTGACAACATACTTCTTAAACAACAAACGAATCTAAATGATTTATCAACAGGTGTACAAGAAATCACAGATAAACTGATTGAAAAACGAAAACACATTGATAACATGATACAGAGAAATTGCCTTGATAAGCTGTTTGTTGAAATGAAAGAAACAAAGAAACGAGTTGAAGAAATGAGGATGAAGCAAAAACAATATAGTCGAGTAGATGTTTTCCAGACTGTATCATTTGTCAAAAACAGTGATATTGTCGATATGTTAGATAGACATAAACAACTGGGAGAACTTATTACAAAGAAAGCATCCATGGGTGAAAATGTTCCAGTCATGAAACCTACATCAACACCGTCTGAGGATAAGACACTAAATCTTGTGGTTGTTGAAGAGATAGATATCAATTCTTCATTGGGAAACACAGAATGTAACATAAGCGGGATAGAAGTCATCAAGCCCGACAAGATAGTCATTTGTGATTTCAGCGGCAATAAAAATGTTAATTGCTATGATATAGTTAAGAAAAAAATTGTTTCAGAGATAAAACTAGATTATGCACCGTTTGATGTTGCAGCTATAACGGATGACAAGTTTGTCGTTACTGTACCTAATGAAAAAAGTATTCATTTCATGTCGCTGAAAAATCAACGCATAGTTTCTGATCGTAAGGTGAATATCAACGAGGACTGTTATGGTATTGCTTACAGCAAAGATAAGCTTGTTGTGTCATGTAATTATAATCCAGGGAAAGTTTTAGTTCTTGACCTACAAGGTAAAATATTGCAAAGTTTTTGTGGAGATAATAGTCTGTTCAGCTATCCCGAATATGTCACGGTTAATACAGCTGGAACGTCTATATATGTTACTAACTGGGGTTATCCTGTGAATGCTGTAAAACAACTAGACTGGCAAGGGAACATTATAAATACCTATCAACCAGCACAGGGAGGACAATATCTACGAGGTATTTGTGAATTAGATGATGGTACATTTCTTGTTTGTTTGGATCAAGATAGTAACGATAATTTGCAGAGAGTATCAGGCAGCTGTAAGCCGTGTAAGGTAACGATAGATGAGAAACTTGGTAACTGGTACCCGGAAGCAGTGGCATTCTGTAAGAAATCTAGAAAACTTTATGTGTCTTATTCTGAAAAAGTGTTCTATGAACCAAAACATCGAATAAAAATCTTTAAGGTTGACTGGTGTTAAGTTACATCATGATGAAAAGTGTACATTTAGTTTGAACTTTTACACGTTTCACTGTAACAGTTGAAAGTTTTTATAGAGTTATTGTTTAAAATGATATTTATATGATATTTATGTGATTATGTCTTTTGAAATCAAAATGGTGGGCTCGAAAATATTCTGTCAATATTTTTAGTTAATTATGTATAACTAAGAATAATAGGTAAATGTTTTTACTGAAATGTAGGTTTTAAGATAAATATTTTAACCGGACTAAGACTGTGATCTCACATTGTTATCAATTTTTCAAAAGTGAATACTATTTTATAGTTTATATAGTCCTAGATAAATTTAATTGGACAGTATAAAAAAATTTTTATAATAAAACAGTCTTAGTAAATTTTATTTGGCAGGATATGGTTTTAAAAATGTCATTAATTGACTTATATAAGTTTTAATGGTCATATTTATTACATATTTGACAAATATATGTTGCTTCTGTATAAAACATCCATTGACTAAGCCAATATATTGTATGGATAAAACAGATGTTCATGTAAATTATGTTGAAGAAAACAAATCGTTGATATACTGAAGTTAGTAATATTTTGAGATTGTAAAGTATCAAGTGTAAAAAATGACATACTTTCCAAGGTTAAATGATTTATAATGGTCAATTTTTCTTCTTACCATTTGCATTTAAACATTTTAGTATCGTTTTATTCATTGTACCACAATGTAACCTTCTGTAGGAAAAACATGCAATAGTTTGAATATATTGAGGTTATATTTTTTAAAATACAACAACCTTTTAATGAATGATAATTGTGTAGCTAGGGGGGAAAACTCCTCAGTGCATAAAACAGTAACTGCTGTGATATGGTCTGTGGAGTTGTCTCCCTTAGAGGTAAAAATAAATAGTCTCTTGTAATTCTTTTAGAATGGCTTTTCATGTATTTTATGTTTGTGTTTTACGTTTTATATGTAATTTTATGTATACATGTAAAGATGAGACTGAAATAAAGAAATTATATATTTATTTTAGGAATGATTTCAGTACATACTAAGTCTTTAATAAATTGTTAAAGACGGTTTGTAAATTATGTTTGCCAATCGAATAGAAATTTTACTTATGGCACGTCCATTTAGTGATTGATTTAAATTCCGGAAGAGTTATGTTGAATATAATAAATAATTTCCCACTTCATTTTCTTTCCTTCGTTTTTACTTTACTGTGCTAGTATATATACCCTTATGCACTTTAAAACGCTAATTTAAATGTGCCGTAGCTTTCGGCCTTTTGGCCTTCTTCAGCAGCATTTATTATATAAGTAATAAAGATTTTTGACAGGTTATATGGTCCTATATAAACGGTTGTTTGTAAATATAACCCGAGTCGCTAGGCGAGGGTTATATCGCAAACAACCGTTTATATACGGCCATATAACCTGTCAGAAATGTTTATAACGAATTTATAATAAAGCAAGCATCATTTTTAGAGGAATATAGCGATATTTTTTATTAATCGACAGCAGCCGTGTATATAAAACTTTATAATACTGCACGTTTGTAACGTCATTTTTCATTGGATAATCGTGACGTTAATATTATTAGTTATAAAGACCGTTGACAGGTTATATGGCCCTATAAAAACGGCTATTTGTAAATAGCCTAGCGGCTCGGGTTATATTGGAAATAGCCGTTTATATACGGCCATATAACCTGTTAACAATCTTTATAACGAATTTATAATACAGCAAGCATTATTTTTTAGAGAAAAAAAGTAAGATTTCTTCATGAATCGACAATAGCCGTGTATATAAAACTATATAAACGTCACGATTATCCAATGAAAAGCGATGTTACAAACGTGCAGTATTATAAAGTTTTATATACACGGCTGCTGTCGATTCATGAAGAAATATTACTTTTATTACAAATTCGTTATAAAGATCGTTGACAGGTTATATGGCCGTATATCAACGGCTGTTTGCAATATAACCCTCGCCTAACGGCTCGGGTTATATTTACAAATAACCGTTTTTATCCTGCTACTGTCTATATCATCAGCTGGATAAAGTCTTGCCGGATAAACTTGTCTATCTCCAGTCATTACGTCAAAATGATGACGTCACATGGTTAACAGCAAAACAAAACTGCATATAGATGCTATTTTATCGGGGAAAAGAAGAATGAAACCATTTAATTATTCTAAAAACATTATAAAAAGCAAGATAAATCAAATACATGGTTGATGCCGGGATGGAAAATGTTTATCCGGTTCGCTGCGAAAGTGAATCTTGGCTCGCTAAAGCTCGCCAAGATACACTTTCTCGCTCACCGGATCAACCTTCTCCATCCCGACATCAACCATGTATTTTCTATATGTGTCATGGAATGCAAATATGGGGTTTCTTGACCAAATTTTTGATTTTCACTTTTTTTTATTTTCTAAATCTATGAAATATCAGAAGTAATTCCTGAAAATTTGAAGGTCGTGTCTTTCTTATTTACAAAGTTATACATAATTTTGTGAGTATGGTGTCCAGTAAGTAATTAAAAATACACATAAAAATCTTTGATCTTTGTGATGTTTAAAGGTGTATGAGGAAAACAACTTTTGAAGCTAAAATGAATTTTGTGAAAAAATTGTTTTATGTTATTAAAGTTAAAAAATGTTGTAGAATATTTTTGGAATACAGCCACCATAATTAAAGAATCATTTACATTATGTTGCCTAGCAACGGACCTATTCCTGGGTTCTTCCTGGCCTTTTTCGTGTAAAAAGTTATGTGCTAGGTTTATTTTATAACACTTGCAAGTATCAATTCGAAATATATTCTTCTTTCACATTTGCAAATAGTTCTATTGCATTTCTACAGTGCTAACAGGACATATTACTGTTGAGAGATATCATAATACAACTTCAAAAGAACTAAACACAGTGTCCATTTATCATTCATTTATTAACTTTATTCAGATATTTACTCTGACAGCAGACAACAGTTTAATACAACAGTAAATGAAAGATGACTCAAGTATAACATCATCAAAGGTAGTGACACTAAATATAGGGCATAATTACACAAATACAACATGAAGGAGCTATATTCTGTTACCTAGCAACCATGGAATATTCTAAATTTTTGTAGTTTATTTTGTAAATATACAAATTTCTTGGTAAAATACAGTTAACAAAGTAGCAGAAATAAATAAATTTTCAATAAAATTATAAACAATGCCTATAAATTACTTTTCAATAATTTTCCATTGAAGATATAACATACAATCCATGTTCTGCACACTTGACTAGTGTTAGTAAGTCATGCAGATTTTAGCAGAACTCAGTATTTTTGCCATGTATATTGCTCTGTATGTTTTACAATAACCAATAAGCATTTGATCAAATCACTGTTACTTTCCATATTACATAAATATATTTATCTGCTGTATAACTGATTTACATAATACCTAAGCAATAAGTAAAAATTAGTCAGTGTTGCCAAGCAACCACAAAATCTTCCATAGTTTCCTTTTAAATTTTACAAATTTTAAGTTTGATTAAAAAAGATCTCAAAATACCATGAACAAAGCAGGATGATTACAAAAAACAAATTACAACTATTAAAACTGCAAATAAAATCTTAATAATAGTTCTTGGATCAAAGTATCCTTAAACTCACTTTACTATAGGTTTTGAATTTATATAGATATTATTAATATACATAATTTCATAAAAGTATGTTCAGTTACATCTGGTGTTAACTACACTGTTTCACAACAAAGTAAGGACTTTGAATTAACTAGCATTATATTTAATTAAAATGACATAAAGATAATTCCTACAAAAAAATGTTCCTTACTTAAAACTGCCTCTGCATATAATTAGGTTGCTTAGCAACCAATGAATAATATATTTTTTTTTTATAAATTTCTAAATTTCCAAAATTTTACAGGCATACAGGAGATTACAACTTAGTTAAAAATAGCAATTTGTGCTATTATAAAAAAATGAAAACAATATCACAAATAATGTGTAACTGAACTTAATAAGGTATTCAGAGAACAGCCTGCCTCACCATTCCTTAATAATATAAATTAAAAATGATACTTCTAATATCATGCTCACAACATTTATTTTCAGGTACATTTAAGGTTCTCTGTTTTAATATTTTTTAACTTAGTGATGATTATTTTTCAATTATTTTCAATGTGATCAAACATATAAAGTATTTTTATTATGATGCACCTGTTTAAAATCCTTCCCAACTGAAGGGAATATTGGTTGCCTAGCTACCATTTAATATTCTTTGATTTTGCTACTTCTTTTAACAATTTTAAGGATTGGTGATAATTTACAATGTGATTCTACACTAATATCAACATAAAAATTCAACTGACCTATCATTGTTATAGATAAAGTATTTTTCATATTCTACAACTAAAAAATGTTTAAAATTTGACAACAAGTACTGAAGCTTAATGTTACTTTACATTTTCATACAGTCATTTTCAATCTAGATTAAAGCTTAAGATCAGTTGACAGTTGATCAATTCATAACATGCATAGGTTCAATAGAATTCTATAACTTAGAGTAAAATGACAAATGTTGTATTACACTAAACTTAATCTAATAAACATTTTGTAAAAATGATGGAAATTAGTAACTTGTAAACTGACATGGATCCAAAAATAATATAGGCAGCCTTTAAATAATATCTATGCATCAATGATCCACACACTTGTTAATATAGCATTAGTCCTTAGAGCACCAGTTATGCAACACACTTGCAGTCTTATCTTATGAAGCATCTACTTGTATCATAAGCTATATTTGAAATGAAGAAAATAATGACAGTCCATACATGACCACTATGTTATAGGAACTCCAATTATACTCAAGAGTAAAAGACTGCTCTTTCTCTTTCCACCCTTTTCTCATAATTGTCAATATCCAACTTTATTTCTGGTTTATAACTGGTTTTGGCCACACATTATTTTAGCTATGTCAGATTTGAAGAACTGCCCAATTTGTTCAAATAGACACTAATGTCTTGCTGCATCATTACTGTACTTCAGGTAAAAGACCTCTGGGAGGCAATTGTTTCAGTAAAAACATTTTTACCTCTACAGAGTTAATATATTCTTTACATGTTATAACACTTGGCTCCATTGCACTTGCACAAAAATGGTGGTATTTGGATAACAGTTTGAGGGCTTAACTTAATAAATGACTTCATAGGGATTTTCTGGATCATCTATAAGCTGTAGGATATTGTGCCCATATCTTGATGACTTCAGGACAGTACACTTAGGCAACCTGTTGCACTGTTTTTCACTTTCCAGATATAAAAGTACCAAGCATGTTGAGACTGACACTTCCATGAAGTCCTAAAATACATATAAATTGGAAATTTAAAAAGTTTGCATAGGATATAAATAGTACTTAAGTAAATAATACTTAAAATTTAGATTATATTTAACTGAATATTCCTTTTGCAACTGAAAATACTATAGCATAGGAGAATAAATTAATAATAAAATTCATGGCAAAGGAACACATCTGACAAGAAAAAAATATAGAAATCTACCTTGATAATATTTTTAAACATGTTTTTTACAATATGCACATGAAAAAATATGTCAAAAAATGTTATGGGCAAACTAACCTGATCCCTCTACACAAACACCAAACACATGGAACATTCTTGGTGTCCTAAAACATATTGGATCAACCGGTTGAGAATGATGGGAAAAGTGCACTTGTTGGGCATAATCCCAAAGGTTGGAGTTCTTTACATCAAGAGTGCATGGTGAAGTGCCTGAAATGTACAGTAATTAAATTTATAAATTATGTTTTATTGATATACAGTTATACAATTTATAGAACAGTCAGATTTTCCTGAGGTCCTCATGTTTTGCTAATAAGGCACCTGCAGATATGATTCCTTTAATAAGACTTGTCATAGGGCTGTGACTTTTTTTAATTTAAATATTAGTTTAATCATTTCAAACAAGTTCAGGCTTAGGTATTCATTGATGTGCTTCTAAATGTGAACAAACATTTTGATATTTTGATGTGACATCATATGCCTTACAGAAACATAGTGTAAATACATGCTAAGTGTAAGCGTTACACTATAGTCTAGTTGTGTCAATGAAAAAATATATGTCTATGCACTCATTCAATACCCTCCATTTATTGAGTCTGGTTATGAGAAATTATGGAAACTGCAACATCTCCATATTTTTAATTTTAAATATCTGAAATATTTAAACAGCTCAAACAATGGAGCCAGAGATATATTTTCACTTTTGGTATACAAGTTTTCAACAGCTCAAATTTTTATTCTCATACATGTACTGTACAGTATGCATGGAAGAAAGTAAAGATTAAAATTCTTGAAAATCTTTAATTTCCTCACTTTGATGATTGTTTTATCTAAGAGATTAATTAAATAAATTTTGGTTTTAATTGCATTGAGTAAATAATTACTTGGCTGCCATTTTCCATGTTGCTATCAACAAATCGTTGTCCAGGAACTGCAATTGTTTCTACTTCCGGGTATAATTATTTTCCGATAAAATACATATTTAAGCAAAAATACTAGAAAAAATAAATACTCACCTAACCCGAATAATCCAGTTATATATAAGTTTTGTCAAAGCAGACGTTGTCAGTGTAAAATATTCTTTAAAACACCGAAAAACATCGAATCAATTCACCAATATTTTATCAACAATCAATGTCAGATGACGTAATCAGTTGTCCTCGTAAAAATCTTTTCCCGTGATAATTTTACTTGCTGTCATAGGATGAACGGTAGCAAATTATTTTTGCCGTTGATTACTCTGTATGAATCAGGACCCCATGTGCTGACAAGTCATTTATTATATAATTAAGCGCTGTTTTACTGCCAGATGAACGGAAAAATAATGAGGAAAAAATGGCGTCAAAGATCTCGCATTTTCTCGATAACGACGTCAACGTCAAGAAGCCCCATTTTTGCATTCCACTACACATATATAGGGTCATATATAACATGTCAACGATCTTTATAACAAATAATGTAAACGTCGCGATTATCCAATAAAAGCGAAGTTACAAACGTGCAGTATTATAATACACACAAATATAATATAATCAGAGTGACGTAACGTCATTGTGCGACTTGAACGATTAATGACTCACGTGGCCCAAAATTAAATAAATACGGAATAGTATGTTGTAGTTGCTTTCTGATGCTTTGATTTTAGCTACGAGCAGCGGTGGAAAATTGATATCTAAAAAAATCAATCTTATGAAAACATATAGACAAGTCAGCTGAATTTGAAAAGAATGAGCATACTATCACTTCAAGAAATAGAGGATATTGAATGAGTGTAAGTTCAATACTGAATCTATTCGAGCCTGTGGCGAGCATGATATTATTTTATTCTACGAGTTCAAGAAAACAGTAATGAACTTACACACATTTTATGTTCTATTTGTCACATACCAAAAATAAAGACTGCTTAAAGTGAAAAAAGCGTCATTTTTCATTGACGCGCCCTCTATTATAACGCTAACATTTAGCGCGCCGTAACGCTATGTTTGTGTCATGTTAAAATATATGCAGTGTTGTGCACGGTCGTGCAATACCATATTTACGGAGTCGCAAAATCGGCACGGGTGTGTGATAAAATCAAATTGAGACAAATGTACTAGAAAATTATCTAAAAGTAAAATGATTAATGATTACATGCCGTGTGCGATTTTTTTGTAATATGCATGAATGGAAAGTGCGATTGCAATTCTTTGTTCATGTTGTAATATTTTAGTTTTAAATACATTTAGTCAAAACTAAAGGACAAAATATGAAACATGTGAAAAGAAAACCGGTCAATTTAGTGTCTTTATTTTTTTGATTTAATGAGTTCGTGTAGTTAACCGGACAGCCGGAACACTTTTCTGCTTAGTCCAGTTGTTCTGGTCGTTTAGGCTGGCTGGAACTCGCTTCCTGAAAAAGGCTAGCTAGAGGTAATACAGTAAAACCTGTGCAAAAGACCGTTGGTTTATTTTATTATAGAATTTCATATTAGTAAACACTTCATCTCCGGCTACCTCGTTTGACCAGGTTTAACTGTATTATCATCAGCCAGAACAGCCCAAACTATCGGACTAGGCAAAATTGTGAAGACTCACAAAGTATATTTTGATAATGTGATCAGATATATTATCTGAATTGAATACTAGTTGTATAAAGGCAAAAACTTTATCATTATAATATATAATTTTATAACAAAACAGAACAGAACAATATTAACTTTAGTTACATGAATCAATACAATAGTATTTAATGTAAAGTATATCAATATATATTAAGTGACATGCCAACTGGGCCTCTGAAGAAGTACTATCAATATTTATTTTATTTAGACATCATATTATTAAAAGTTTTATTTATATATATGTTGGTAATTATTTTGGTCAATTTTGAAACGGATTATAGAGGCGCGTAAGTACAAACTTCACTTCCCATAGATATGCAACTTCTTTTTCGAGATAACTTCTTTGAAGTGATATGTGAAACACCCCTTTTGAATAAAGTGTCAACCAACTAGCGATTATTCTATATTTAAGAAATAATATATCCCAAACTGTGATTTTATTGCTCAATAAAATCACTGTTTGGAGTTCGGATGCGGGGAATTATATCACGAGGGCGTAGCCCGAGTGATATAATGATGCGCATCCGAACGACAAACAGTGATGTTATCAAGCAATAAAATCATCGATTTGGATATATTATTTCGATTCTAACACAACATCAACAAATAAATGCTGCCGTACATGATAATTAGCTAAATTGCGTCTGATTTGTTTCCGTACTTATTCTTAGCGCGTCACATTTTTAGTGGTTACGTCACGTGTATAATGATTACGTCACATGTCTAAATATAGAACGTCAAACAGTGATTTTATTGCATAATAACACACACTTTCGGTTCTTCTATGTTCAATAGGGAAAAATGCGGGTCGTGTTAGAATTAAAGTTATATCTAGTAACATTAGGTATACACGACACGTACATGAATGCACGATAAGGTTGACCGTATTATCTCCCTTACATATTTATTTTATATATACATTTTCGATTACTATACGAATACTAACTTACGGACTTATCAAAAAATCTTACATCTCGCAATATTTCTACATTACATACCGTAAATAACTTTAAAGATAATGCAACAATTAAAGTTTATCAGTCCTTCAGTAAATTTTCTATATCAAATTATTAAATTATTGTCGCCACATAGTTTTTGCATTCTATCTTTCAAAATAAATATATTCAGTATGAAATTCTAGACTTCAAATTATGTTCATCGCAAAGTTTTGTATTCTTTCAATAAATTTGACTTATTCAGTATTGAATATGAAATTTTATACTTCAATAAATGTCTGCAAAAATATCTAACCAACAAATGAGCATAGTATCTGTTTAACCTGCTCATAATTGCTTAAGTTACTTTGATATTCAATTTCTGTGGAAGATGTCTAAAGGTTGAGTTCTCTCTGCTGATTGCCCAACAATTAAATGTTAGGCAAGTGAAACAAGGACATCATTCAGATAATGGTCCGTGGTCCGTGGTACATTTACATTTTAATCAGATTATTAAGAGATAGTGGAGATTTGTTTATTTGCACAAAGATATAACTTAATATACATGTATCTCATAACAACATATCTATAGGGACATTAACATTCGTTTGAAACATGTAAACGGTTCAAATTTCGATTGGATTACAATAACAATTTCACAAATGACAAAATGGCGATGAAGAGCTAGTGTGTAACAGAAGGAATCTAAATAAAGGAAAAGGAGATTTTTTAGGTATTTATATCTTGTATTTATGAACGTTTCATCAGAAAACTTTCAATAATGACAATGTACTTTTACATATCAGTAGTCTAATATAAAAGTTACACAGAAAAATAATGCATATTAAAAATATTGAAAAAAAATCAAGAAAAAAATCAACTCGCGGTCGAGTCAACATGTTCATACTTGAAAAATTAGAACAGAGTCCCTAAATCTAATTTTATGTATCCTAATATCTATTTAAACACAAGTCTTTATTTGTATATCTCACAGCTTGTGCTAAATGTATTCTTAAAAAGAAAATAATGAAAGTATGCTTGTCTAAATCAAATATATGTATTATTTATCTGATTTTACAATATACAAAACAAAGGAGAATACTAGTAACATACAACCTTACAAATATTTTTTTCAGAATTAAAAACGGTAAAATTATTATTAAAAATATGTCTGACAATCAATCAATTTAAAAATGCCCACAAAAGTAGAATTATAAACATATACGATTTAATGTCAAAGAAATTTTCATAATTTTGTACTCTAGGTTTCTACAACCATGACAATAAGTATAACAATAATGAACTGTTTATTTTTATATCAATGTAATTTAGATGGACGTTTACTCAATATATTGGATTAAACTTAGTTAACAACTCCAAGTATTAAACTACTATTCGTTTACATGTTTACTTTACACCGAAATATCGTATCCGTCGAGGTTCTTTTCCGAAGTTTGACGGAAAGGGTCGAGAAGATGCGATTGTAACAGTGATTACAAACACTTTCGATAGAAAAAAATGCGGGTTTTGTTTAAAATTTCTTTGATTTTGGAATTTGAATGTTTCTCAAATAAAAGAAAAGATTTAAATTTACTGTAAATTTATATTTCAGAAATTTATCAAAACATGGTCCTTTACATTTAGATTAACATTAACTTCGTTCGCATTAAAAATGTAATAGTGTTATAATAACTTAAATCTGCTTGATGAATGTATATGTCTTGTGAGGTTTACAAATTAATACATGTCTGATAAAACATATATCGCTTATTTTATTTTTTTACTGCTGCTGTTACTTATTCGCATGATATAAACTTTGTAATGATTCAAGTTTTTTTTAAATACAGTATTTATTTTTATCGTATAGTATGAAAATAAATACTTCACGTGTCGGGGTAGCCACAAGTAAAATATGTTAACTTTTTTATCACAAGATGAAAATAAATCCTTTATGTTTATAAAAGATTTTTGTTTATTATATACTTTATCTCTTTTTTGACCTTGAAATTCTTAAGACTTCTCTTTCAATTTTGGGTATTGGCAGAATTAAGAAAAAGTAGTCCGGCAAGTTACCAATGGAAATACAGAAAATATGTTTCACTGAAAAATACGGAAAACAGAAAAAATTAAAATATGCATTTTATTTCATAAATATTTAGTTATACTTCATTATGTTATAATATAATAAAACAGTATCTTGTTTCATTATAATTTGTATACCCTTTTGTTTGCTTTAAATAAAAAAAATCACTCTTAATAAGGATAAATTGTTGATACAATGTATTGTCACTTTTCTTTTTAATCCTTTTTTTAGGTTAATAATGCATTTCATAGGCCAGGTATAATTCTCTCGGAAAAGAAAAAAAAATCTATGAATGACAATTTTCATGCATTACAGTAACGATGACTGACCATTAAATGAGCCGTGTCATGACAAAACCAACATAATGGGTTTGCGACCAGCATGGATCAGGATCCATGCTGTTCGCTTACAAACCCTATAACAAGTAGATAAACTGATAGCGAACAGCATGGATCCTGATCAGACTGCGAGCATGCGCAGGCTGGTCTGGATCCATGCTGGTCGCAAACACATTATGTTGGTTTTGTCGTGACACGGCTCAAATGTAGTTCATTATTGTAAAACATATTCGCGTTTATTGGCATTTTTTAGAATACGAATCAATTGTAAATCCATGCATGTGTAATTAGGTTTATATTAATTGATTGGATTAAAACTGGTATGGGATTGACATACTACTTGACAACTCAGGGCAATGAATAAAGGAACTTTTAATATATAAATAAGAAATAAGATCGTTGTATTGTGTATAATGTGTTTATTTGTTTTTAAAAATGGGTGCTTACATCCATTATGCAGCTTACATCCATGTTATTTTGAACTGTCATTAATAAATAAATTTCAGAACGAACTAACAATGGAAGTTCCTGGTAAACAAAAACCAAAAAAGACATTTTCTGTTTCACGAGGTTCAGCTGAAGACTTTCTTTTGTTCTGTATCCCGTGTGATAGAGATGGTGCCCGGGTACCAGCAAAAGGTTATTGTTCAACCTGCAAAGAACATCTTTGTGACACTTGTTACAAGCATCACAAGAAACAAACTCCATCACGTCATCATATTCTGCTAGATCAAGACTCCATGCCAACTACACCAATCGTTCCAATCGTAAAAGACGAATTTGATAGTTGTGATGATCATGAAGACGAAAAACTGAAATTCTACTGCAAAGAGCATGACATCGTTGTTTGCAGTGTTTGTGTAACGCTGAATCACAGGTTATGTAATGTAGAATACATACCGAAACTCTCGAAGCATATTCTAGACAGTGAAGAACTTAATGAAATAATGGCAGAAATGAAAGCACTGAGGATAATTATAAAATCACAGATAAGAGAGTAAAAGATGAGATGAAAGCTATTTCTAAAAACCATGATGACGTAATAAAGGCGATTCATCAATTCAGAAAAGAAATAAATAAACGTCTAGATGAAATGGAAAAACATGTGGTCAAAGAAGCTGACAACATACTTCTTAAACAACAAACGAAACTTAATGATTTATCAACAGGTGTACAAGAAATCACAGATAAACTGACTGAAAAACGAAAACGCATTGATAACCTGATACAAAGAAAATGCCTTGATAAGCTGTTTGTTGAAATGAAAGAAACAAAGAAACGAGTTGAAGAAATGAGGATGAAGCAAAAACAATATAGTCGAGTAGATGTTTTCCAGACTGTATCATTTGTCAAAAACAGTGATATTTTCGATATGTTAGATAGACATAAGCAACTTGGAGAACTTATTACAAAGAAAACATCCATGGTTGAAAATGTTCCAGTGATGAAACCTACATCAACACCGTCTGAGGATAAGACGCTAAATCTTGAGGTTTTTGAAGATATAGATATGAATTCTTCATCGGGAAATACAGAATGTTACATAACCGGGATAGAAGTCCTCAAGCCCGACAAGATAGTTATGTGTGATAACAGCGGCAATAAAAATGTTAAATGCTATGATACAGTACAGAAGAAAGTTGTATCAGAGATAAAATTAACTGAGTCACCGTTTGATGTTGCAGCTATAACGGATGATAAGTTCGTCGTTACTGTAACTGATGAGAGAAGTATTCATTTCATGTCGCTAAGAAATCAACGCATAGTTTTTGATCGTAAGATGAATATCAACGAGAACTGTTTTGGTATTGCTTACAGCCAAGATAAGCTTGTTGTGTCATGTAATTTTGATCCAGGAAAAGTTCTAGTTCTTGACCTACAAGGTAAAATATTGCAAGAGTTTAGTGGAGATAAGAGTCTGTTCTGCTTTCCCCTGTATGTCACGGTGAATACAGCTGGAACGTCTATATATGTTAGTGACTATAGTTATACTGTGAATGCTGTAAAACAACTAGACTGGCAGGGAAACGTTATAAATACCTATCAACCAGCACAGGGAGGAAGCTATCTACGAGGTATTTGTGAATTAGATGATGGTACATTTCTTGTTTGTTTGCTTCAAGATAGTGACGATAATTTGCCAAGAGTATCAGACAGCTGTAAGCCGTGTAAGATAACGATAAACCAGAAACTTGGTAGTTGGTACCCGGAAGCAGTGGCATACTGTAAGAAATCTAGAAAACTTTATGTGTCTTATTGTGAAACAGGGCGTTATGATCCAAAACATCGGATAAAAATCTTTAAGGTTGATTGGTGTTAAGTTATATCATGATGAACATTATACATTCAGTTTGAACTTAGACATGTTTCGATGTAACAGTTGAAAACAAAAACATTATAGAGTTATTGTTCAAAATGATGTTTATATGATAATGTCTTTTGAAATCCAAATTGTGGGCTCGAAAATATTCTGTCAATATTTTTAGTCAATTATGTACTTTTATTTTGGGAATGATTTCAATACATACTAAGTCTTTAATTTAAATGTTAAAGACGGTGTGTAAATAATGTTTATCAGTCGATTAGAAATTTTACTTATGAAGAATTCCTGACCCAATTCTCTTTAGTGATTGATTTAAATTCCAAAAGAGTTATATTTAGAAGTTGAATATAATAAATTGTTTCCCATTTCATTTTCTAACCTTCGTTTTTACTTTACTGTATAAATTCCCTTATGTTGACATACGTTAACTTAAACGTATATTATTCACAAAAATATATTCCGTCAGTAATAAAAAGTCTTCTTAATATCCAAGGGTATATAGTGACTGAACCAGTGAAAGTCAATATAAGTTCATGTTTTGTCATAACTCCTTTCAATTATATTATTTTCTTTTCATGAACGATACATAACTTCACGTTCAATTTACAAAAAGAGTGGACCATTACCCTGTTCACCATATCAACTCGCACGTACACATATTTTGTATAAAGATATAAAAAACTAATCAATGGTTAAACAAATTTATCATTTCATTAATATGTACAACTGTTACATATGTGATTAAGCTTCAGTTTTAAAGAGAGAGAAAAAACAAAACAAAGTGAAAACAAAAGGACTAAATATGAAAAGAAAACCGATCAATTTAGTTAGTGTCTTTATTTTCGTCCTATTTTCTTAGCGATGTCGTACGGCGCGTTGTCGCGATGTCGCCCTGTCGTGCGGCTTATAAGCCAGTCCTTCGATTTGAACCGAGCGACAATGTGACATCCCGACAACACGCCGCACGACAACGCACCGTTTGACGTACATCGTTAGCGACAGGGCCCATCTCCTACGCAGTGATCTCCCCTTATCAGTACAGAGATCTCTGCCATCACAAACATTTTTATCAATATCTTGATATTTCATATTTTTTAGCTTTTGAATTTATTTTTCATTATTTTGCATGCTATTGATATTTGTTTTGGATAAAATATAACGAATGTAGGTACGAATAGTTAAAATAAATCAGAAAGAGAAAAATGACGTTAGATTTTTATGTAATGGTCGATAATTACATTTGAATTTCGACATTACGTCATGTGACTTTCATCATCATGTGACGTCTGTGAGGGCAGTGATTACAATTCTGCCAAAGGAGGTAATCACTGTGAGGAGTTTGCGACAGGGCGACAAGACGAAAGTCCGACAACGCGTCGTTTGGCGCTATGTCATGTGATGCTAGCGCCAACACGACGCACAAAAGCGTTCAAAATCAGCCACCATAGATCAATTAGTTGTATAAAGGCAAACGCTTTATCATTATAATGTTTAATATTTAAACAAAAGGGAAAAGCAAACTATTTTATAACCTCTAATTGCATGTAGCAACACAATAATATACAATGTATAGTATATCAAGTGACATGGTAACTAGGCATCTGAAGAAGTACTATCAATATTTATATTATTCAGACATCATATTATTAAAAGGAGTTTTTGATTTATATTGTCAATATTGAAACGCATTATAGAGGCGTGGGAGGATCTATGATGTTTAAACGTATGATAGAGATTATATGTGAGTATAAACTTTAGTTCCTAAAGATATGCGATCCCTTTTTGGAGACCACATTCTTTGAATTTGTACAAGAAATGTTTTAATATGTCTCATGTAGGAATGGATTACAATTTATCTTTAAAATTATCAGAAATTTGACATCTAGCGTTGTATGTTGATTAGTGAAACACAACTTTAAGAAAAGTGTCAACCAATTAGCGATTGTTCTCTATTTAAAGTCATATCTAATAACATTAGGTATACACGACACGAACATGAATCCACGATAAGGTTGACCGTATTATCTCCCTAACATATTTATTATATACTATAACTGTATGCATAATAGTTTCCACTGTCATTTTATAAAGCAAGGATCGGACTGATCAGTACTAATATATATAAAATCTTACATCTCCTCATATTACTACATAACATAACGTAAATAACTTTTAAAGATAATGCGACAATTTACCTTTATCCCTGACAGTCATTTAGTCAATTTTCTATATCAAGTTATTATCATCACATAGTGTTTGCATTCTATCATTCAAAATAAGCATATTCAGTATGAATATCTAGAATTCAATAAAATCTGAAGAAAAATATTTAACCAACAGATGAACATAGTTATCTTTAATGTTGGGCAACTTAAAGAGGGACATCATTCTACGGAAGGGTGTACTGACCCCCCTTATATATTTTTATGCCTTCATAAAAAAAACCTTTGTATAATACATATCTTTAAAAAATTGAAAAGTTATATGATATTTAAAATAGGTCTTGCAGAGTTTTATCTGTTATTATACACCATAAATCACAAATATGCATTGTTTCTTCGATGATACTTAGTATTTGGAAATTTAAGAGAACAGAATGTTCTTCTTAACATACAGTAGTTGTACACTTTAGCCTTTATCATATGAATCTCATGAAAAAAGATGTATGCATTTATAAATTAAATTAGATTCTCTTGGTATAATAAGTCGCATCTATTATTATAATATTAAATGGCCCTTTTCTCGTTTTGATATAAAAAAAAAAACATGTATAATCATTGAAAAAAGATGTAAGAAATATTTATAGTATAAGATACTCAAAGTTTCAATACCATTTATATAATAATAATATATAACAGTTAAAATATAATTATATTACATATAATACTGGCAAGGTACTCGTGTACCGCAAGCGTGCTATCATAACGATCAATTTATTTTACGAAACATATAAAACATCATCTAAGTTAAAAACTCAGGTAAAGAATATATATATTATATATGATAATATCATCTCTATATCTGTCAAACAAATAGTGCCTCGAAAACATAATGTTTTCAAATAAATAAAAGCGTTTACTCCAAGAAAACGTCTGCGTCTTGAGGTAGAATTTCAATGGAAAGAAGAAAAAACATATTTCTTATAAATAAAAGTAAGGTTTTTAGAAATACTTTAGTTTATAATACGTATCTTTAACAGTATAGTAGCCAAAAAAAAACAAACAGAAAAGATCAATATGAACTATATATATAACTTTTTAAAAACCATTACGAACTAAGTTGTTATCATGTATCGTCGTATTTTAAACAGGCATATAAAATATATAAGGGGGGTCAGTATACTCTTCCGTATCATTCAGATTATGATCCGTAATTATTATTTTATATAATTAAAGTGCCATGCTATGTTTTCTATAATCTGATTTCAATAAACAAAAAATTGTCTAGTATCTTAAATAGAATAGGACACATTTTGTAATTTAAACTTCGCGACTAATATTGTGTATACATGTATATTTGTACAATTTATGTGACGGTTTACAGTGAAGTGCTAAAATCAGTTAAATATAAAAACAACCTTATTTATAACTGTTTGATATTGATAATTAAAGTTAATGCCAAAGTTCTGTGTAATGAAATCATCGCTTGACCACGTTATCTCATTACATTTAACGTTAAAACTGTTGCCTGGTTAAGGAATAACTTCTGTCAGTTAAATAAAAATCTTATTTTCGGTGATTTAAGCATTTCTGTATGTTTAATTAAACCTTGGACACGTGTTGTACCGATACTTACATTATCTGATTCACTAGTTAATGATTGACTGCCTGGTTTAATATATATGAGCCGCGTCACGACAAAACCAACGTAATGCGTTTGCGACCAGCATTGATCCAGACAAACCTGCGCGTCCGCGCATTCTGATCAGGATCCATGCTGTTCGCTATCAGTTTCTCTATTTGTAATAGAGTTTGTAAGCGAACAGCATGGATCCTGATCAGACTGCGCAGACGCGCAGGCTGGTCTGGATCCATGCTGGTCGCAAACGCATTATGTTGGTTTTGTCGTGACGCGGCTCATATCCATACGAAAGACCTTGCTCTGTATGCTTAATCAAGGTCTTTTTCTTATACCTACTTGTGCTCTTAGTAATTTTGTCAATATTTCTCTGAAATTTGTCCGACTTTCAATTCAAGAGCTACATGTTTATATATATATAGCATTATTTATATTACACAGTGAACAGCTTGTTTATTCTACAGCAGTGATATGTTGCAATGTATTGATATCAGTCTTAAGGATTCCATTTATGAATTAACGTCAGATATACGTATCACAGATGTATGGTGCGTTTTCAGGTCAGTTACTAGTACCCCTCTCCCCAAGACCCCTCTACAACAACAAAAATTGTTCATATGAATAAATCATTTAATAACATATATCATTTACACATCACAAATCAATATTATAAAAAAATAACATATCTGTCATCCGTAAAATAAACAACATATTACAACAGCGTGATCAACCGATAGACAAGAGCAAATCTTTATTCCAATACATTTACCTGTCTAACAGTATATTTACGGAGGTATTTTACTCGAATCCGTTGTTTCTTTCATTGTACAGTTTCACCAAGATTGACATATACAGAGTTTCAATAATTCTTATATAAAACCTAAACCTTTTACAAATTGAACAATTACCTATAACTACCCGATACCCATTCACTACATCATAGCGTACAGGTTGACTGCTCGTTTCATGACTGCACATACACTTGTTTGACTCCTAGAGAGGCACTTTTGTTTTAAAGAAATCTAAATTTAAAATACTACTTGGATTTAAGTTCCTCGTGAATTTCACACACACAAGATTATTTGAAACATAAGGCACATTATACCTCAAAAACAAATAAGTTTTTACTTATAAAGAAAGGACAAGCATGAATTTTATAATATTTAAATATTGGTTTTAGAGAATGTTAGATGCTTGCTACCTAAAGAAAGTACTGATAAATGTGAAATAATTTGTCATAAAGGTAGCAAAATGCAAACAACGTAATATTTTGACTTCCATACAAAATACTAATTTCAATTTAACTGTAGTTATTGCTAAAAAGCAATTGATGAAAAAGATGGTACATGCCATTGACAAATGAGTAACTTTTCGGATACAGTAAAAGTAAACCAAAATTAAAAAAAAAATAAAAATACTATTTTAAGACATACTGCATATTTAGTGTTCAACCCTTTTACAGTTGGACACTACGCTTTCCTCTTTTGATTACATCTGACGGACCAAGTGGGAGACTCTATGATGGATAGTTCGTAAAGCCCTTTGGGACTGAATTGTCTTAATGTTCGTCTTCTGCCTTGCTTCGTCGGGCCCTTGTAGGTGATTTTCTTGTTGCTCTGTCTTCCTTTAGGACATTGAGTACTTTTGTTATGGTAATTGGGTTTACTTTTATATGTTTCTACATGATCATTTTAGTGTTTTACTTATTTAACCTTTTAGAATTTCACTTGGCGGGGATTCATTTTATTTACATTGTCTCTTTTATAGGAACATGGTGGGGCTAAGAGCGAGGTATGGTGCACCATTAACCGGTTTAAACTCCCAAGCAGTCATTTTTATGCTGCTGACCGTTCCAAGGCGGCGCCCGTCTGTGTTCCTCAGATGTATGTCTCTGTTGTTTCATACTGTTTTGGTGACACTTTTGCTTGTGTCCCTTGTTGTTTTCTCGTCT